CACACGTACATACACATACACATACATGTGTGTACACACGTACATACACATACACATACATGTGTGTATGCACGTACATACACATACACATACGTCATGTGTGTATTATGAGCAGCGGGACACCCGATACACCGATATATACACTGATACACGGATACACTGACCCTACAACCATGTAGTCACAGTACACACTCTCTATTCCACGAAGCCGATCACCTTCCCGCATTCATCGCTCGTGAATCAGCAACTACTTTTATCGGCGCCCGCATCTTTCTCTCTCTCTTTCTCTCTNCATACATATATATATACAGCAGTAAGTACTTACGTGGGATTGGCTAGCACGCTCTTCACTCTCCGGGAGTGAGCATCGTACAGTGTCCAGCCACAGGCGTTCCACAGACACCAGCTCTTCTTCACAAACATGTCGCTCGTCCGCACCGCTCCCCCGTCCACCGTCCTCCTCTGCCGAGAGACAATCACGAAACACTTAAATCAGTGTTTAGACACCAAGTTTGCCCTCCAATATTAATGTAAATATTTATCTCTTGATATTCTAAATGATATAATTGCCTTCCTCACCCCAGAAAATGTGTGTTTAGACACCATGTTTGCCCTCCTAAGTGGCCTAGAAGCTGGGATATTGGCAGTTATAGGTTTTTACATAGTGGCCATCTTGGAACCCAAGATGGCCGCCTTCCTCTATCTTGGAGAAGTGGCTCCTATCAAAAATTTGAAGCTAAGGCAATGGATATTACGTGGAAAAAGTTTGGTGATTTTATCAGGAATGCCCCTATTCTTCTCAAATCTGGACCTAAGCCATCCGACTAACTCGCACCTAGTTTGATATGCAGCAGAGAACTATAGACGGGCCTATAGCTGAGATGAGGAAGGGGAGGAGGAGAGGAGGATGAAAAGGAGAGCTTGGAGAGGAAAGGGCAGGAGAGGGGAGGGGGGAAGGAGGATGAGGGAGAGGACCCACCAGGGGACTGGAGGAGGAAAGAGGCATCTGTTGAGGAGGAGGAGGAGGAAGAGGAGGAGAAGGAAGCGAAGAAGAAGAAGGAGGCGGAAGAGGAGGAGGAGGAGGGGAGGAGGAGAAGAAGGGAAAGGAGGAAAATAAGAAGAAGAAGAAGAAGAAGAAGGCAAAGAAATATGAGGAAGGCAGCGGGATAGTTTCCTCCCTCC